CATCTGGAGAGCAAGCTTCCTTTCTCACCTGCAAAACCCAGCAAATTCGTGCTCTATTCACCCTTCTCCCTCATTTTCCCTCTTCGGGCAAGCTATTCCAGATCTTGACAGACTTTTCGTCAAACTGCTGGAAATTACTTAAACCACCCATCACTCTTCCCCATCTTTCTCCCTCTTTATCAAACCTTTTTAGAATCCCTTCCTCTCTCCCTTAGAACCCCTGTTTCTCATAGGAATTCACAGCCCTCTCTCTATTTATGCTAAACTCATGTCCCTCTGTAACTCATCTTCCTTCGATGTTGCATAGATTTTCACCTCTTTGTGGCGGTCATCTATCATTTTTCTAACGTCATGCCCATCTAAAAATCTTCGCCTCGGCTTTGCATGAGTATCAGGTTCTTCTTTTGAATGTCTAGATTGACCTATGTTTGGCTCATCTTAACTACTTTTGAAGGAGACTTCCATTTGTGGGGATAAGTTGCCTTTTGGGAGAGTGTGATCGACCTTTGTTGTTCCTCTGTCTCCTCTGTTGAGGAACCTCTTTTATCAGTCGAATGGTCACTCTGTTGGGTTTCCATGCCTCTACTGGAAATATTCGGTGTTGGTCACATGACTTCTTTCCTATTAAGAGGTTCCAAATCCACTTGGATATGTATGCCCCCAAGGCCACTTGGTCTGAGTATTCCCAAAGATCAAGACGCAGTACAATTCTTGCGAAGCTTATCCGTTGAGTGCACTAGTTTCTTCCCTCGTCTTCTGTGAATAGGATGACCCCTACTAGGCTCGTCTTCTGAGCATGCTAGCTCCTTCCCAAGTGTCCTACCTTAGGACATACAGTACTTCTTTTCATTAGGAACCCTTCATGCACATACAAGTTTTTCTACCATAAAAAGATTAAAATTGTTTCAATGAAGTTGCTTTATGTTTGAGGAGATCCTTTATGAACCTATATTGGTCGAATTTGGTTTGAATGGCTGCTAGATGCACGTCCATGGTCTTCTTACTTGTCCTTGAGAGTTTCAATGAGACATAGTTGAGAGGTGTAAGTTAGGAGGTGGGGCTCTGCTGAGTTCCTTCATTCCTATAGGTGCTATTGCACCCCTTGGTTGCTTCTTGACCACTGATGTGCAAAGTCTACCCTTACGTGTTAGGGAAATAAATTGTTGTGATAATTTTTTAAAGATCTTTAGTTGATTTCTTGCTTGTATGTGATAGAAACTGCTACAAGTATGTAACATACTCTTAATGATAACACCAATTTAGGGGACATAAATTTCTCGATCACCTGAATAGTCGTTTGCACCCAAAAACCAAGAAGAAAATATGATCAAAGTATTTTTCACATCAATGTGGTGTGAGCCAAAAAGCCTTTGATGACTAAGTCAGTCTTTGCAAAGAGGTTTAAGCAAAACAAGGTTCTTAGTTCAAGGAACAATTACCTTCTCCAAGAGACGGATGTTAGCTTATATAGGGCTATGTCTTGGCGGTTTAATTGTCGTTAGACGCTACGTGTTATTCGTTAATTGGATATGTTAAGACTGGATCCTGAGCCTCTACATTTAAAGGTTGTGCATTCACCCGCATTTCGCAACATCTAAACCATTCTATTAATCTATCCGTTTAAAACATGACATATCAACAACTTAAGTATTAAATTATTATTATTATTTTTCATAAAAAAGAAGTTTTTAAAATTAACAAGTCTTTTATTGTTTAAATAAAAAATAAAGTAAAAATCATGAAAGTTGGGGAGGGAAAGGGGAATCTGGGCTGGTTGAGGCGGGGAGGGTGGGGGAAAAGGGGCTGGGTATGATATATTGTACAATAAAAAAAACACACAAATTAAAACTAGTTGATCCACCCAAATTATGAATATAACAATCCAAGTACACGAAAAAGTGTTATATGGAAGATCAAAATGGAATATCCTTTAGATTAACCTCTCCACTCATTGCCCCTTCTCAATATAATCAATTTACCAAAAAAAAAAATTCCTTGAATTCAAAAATTTGGAAAATTAGTTTGATAAGTTTTTTGCATTTGTATTGACACCTGCTTATTTCACGGTTGTAGGGGTAGATCTGTGATAGAGACAAAGAGAAATGGTGGCTTGTGTGGTGCCCTGGGTGCTGGGGATTAGGGTGGGAAGGGGGAGTTGCCTTTTTTTTTTTTTTTTTTTTTTTTAAATCTTGGATTTTGTGATTTTTTACCTTTTACCTTTTAAATTGAATTAAATTATTAGATTATTATTATTTTTTTCAAAGTTTCTTTATGTGCCATGTGTCATATCTTAAACAGTTAGATTATTAGGATGGTCTAGATGTTACGAAATGCGGGTAAATGCACAACACCTAAATGTAATGGCTATGAAGTTTGGTAATTAGGCCTTACTTATTAGAAGCTTGCTGAACACTGATGGGTCTTGATGGACTTTCTTTATTAAGCTTTACTGGGCTTTCTCCCTTGTTAAGCTTTAAACATATTTATATTATGATGTGCATAAGCCATTTTTTAAACGCTTGACTAAGTGCTTATCTTTTTTCCTATGTGAAGCGTAATTTCGTCGTTTCAAACTCGTTTACGTCCAGGTGTCTTCCTATGATTGGAGGGTAAATATTTGCTCCCATGGTTGGGTAAGAGCATCTCCAAGGGAGATATCAAATGCAAAATGTTAAATTTGAATTTGATGGCTTATGTGGCAATTTGACACTTTGGAAAAAATTTAACTCCACCCGAAATGCTTAATATCATATTATTTTATTATATTTTTAAAAACAAATGCGGCCCATATGATACATAAAGCTTTTAAAGAGAGTAAATGATAGTGAGGTCCATGACTGAAAAAATATTAAAATAATATTTGATATCAAGCTTTTTGATATGTTATTTTTGTCCAGCCTTCAAATCCATGTAGAATTTGACTATTCTGTTGGAGCAACTTTAAGTTAACCTTCAATTTTGCCATGTCATATCCATGTGACCATTTGACATATCGGTTGGAGATGCTTTAAGCTGTCTTTTTCTGATTTGATAAAAAAAGCTGTTTTTTTTTTTTTTTTTTTCTGATTATAAAAAAATTGAAATTTTAAACTAAAAAAGGAAAGGAGTTGCAGAAACTCGATACAATTTTTTTGGGGAACAATCTGCAGTTCCATTGCAATTTGCATGCTCCCCTGCCTGCCCAGTGGCCAGTGCTCAGTGCCCAAATCTCAAATCTCCCAACCAAAACCAAACCAAATGTAGCCAAAGCCACCAACTCCAATGGATTTGTCAACCCTCCAACTCCAAATCCAATCAAAGAGACCACCGCCTCCCAGTGGCAGCTCCTCCTCCCGCAACATCAACCGCCTTCCCTCCAAATGTCTCATCCCCTCCCTCTCTCTCCTCACCCTCCCCTTCCTCTTCTACCTCCTCTCCACCGCCCACAAGCTCCACCTCTCCCCAAAATTCGCCCACTCCGAATCCACCCTCTTTGGCGTCGTCGTCTCCGCCCGCCCCGCCTCCGTCCGCCTCCGCATCTTCCACTTTCTCGACGGCACCGCGCCCTCCAGCTCCACCTCCTCCCCCCATGGCCTCTCCGCCTTCGCCGCCAACCCCGATCACGCCGGCGGGTCCCTCGTCCCTCTCCTCCGCTTCGCCAAGCTGCAGGTGCCCAAGAAGGAGCGAGGCAACACCAAGCTCCTCTTCTTTGCCGGCGCCGAGCTGGATGCGTTGGGGCCTGACGTCGCAGAGAAGCTTCTGGAATCGTGTAGGAAGGTGCTGAGGTCGTCGGGGTTTTGGTTCAAGGACGAGTGGGCCCGGGTCATTCCAGGTTAGAATCTTCGTGTCCTGTACAGTAGTTAGGGTTTGCTTGAGTGAATTTGTCACATTGTGAATCGGAATTTGCGATTTTGCCGCGCAGGTGAGGAACAAGGTGTTTATGCTTGGGTGAGTGCCAACTATGCTCTTGGAACATTGCAGAGTGAGCCTCAGGAAACTACTGGGATTGTTGAACTTGGTGGGACTTCTTTGCAGGTTTACTTTCATTTACCAACTACTACTGGCTTTAGTTTATCATTCTAAACAAACAATTGCATTTCTAGCTGTGTTTTTTTGTGTTAATAATAATGCTTGAAAATGCAAATCACTTGCAGGTCACTTATGCTGCAAAAGAATCACGAGAAGTGAATTCTTCTCCGTCCCGAATTATCAAATTGTTTGGAGTTACTTACCACCTTTACAGTCAAGGCTTGCCGCTATTTGGCCAGGTTTTTGCATCTGAATTCCGTTTGTAAATTTATTTTTGAATTATAAGACTGTTGATGGAGTTGGTTGGTCATGAAAGATTGTGGAGGAAACTCCAAACATGGACAACTGTGTTGCCTGGATATTGTGATTTTACACACTCTGTATGCTTAATCTATACCTATGTCTGACCAGTACATGTGCCAATTCAAATGTGTTTGAGCAACTACATATGTGTATATATTGGAATTTGATATGATAACATAGTTATAAATTGGAAATTCAGTCTATGTTATAAATTGGCATGTGTATGACTAACTAGATATTAATTCATTGGTCATGTGGTTCTATTAATTAACAACCTCTGATATGTACGTAATTAGCTCACTCTATGCTGTTTGTAAATTTATAGAGCTTGTGTTCTTAATCTAAATCTGTGTTTAATTAGTAAGTAGCACATGTGCTAGTACAAGTTTGTGTGAGCGCAGCACTTGGAAACGTGGTATTTCTTATAAAGATTCTCATTCATTGGTCATGTGACTTTTATCTATTAATTAACGTACCCTGATCTGCAGCATACATAAATGACATTGGTTGTGGATATAAAATCTTTAGTTGGGACTCAATTTAATCGGATTACTTGTATGTTTTATTAATTTTTTTCACCATAATAAGTACGTATGGATGTCTAATGGATTCTAACTTTAATTTCTTCTTAATATCAATGATTTTCATAGTTAAAGTACCACCTGTATTTAATTTTTCTAGTGCTTTATGAATTAGCTTAAACTTTAGGCTACTTGAGCACGTTCGAAATGTTTTGATGATACAGTTGAAGATCCTCAACCAAATGTTGTGACAAATTCTTTTTTTCTTTTGTTTTGTGGTTTTTGTACAGGATGCAGCTTGGGAATCACTGTATGAGCTGCAGAAGTCCAGAGAATTGACACCTTGTAAGATTTGTTGACCTTTCCCTTTTTCGGAACCATGGGATAAAAGTTGATTTCATGGCTTTGAACTACTATAATTATACATTAAAATATATATTGCACAACTTTCAATTGCTTCTGGATTTTGGCTCCATTCACACCATTGATTTGTGCCTTTTTGGTTCCATTCACATCATTGAGGTGCTGATGCAGTTTGCACATTTCGTTTTCATTTAGAAGTGGACTTGTTGTTCATTTTTGTTGTACTGTTTAATTTTTAATAAAAATTCAAGTTTATTATTATATAAAAAATAAAAATAAAAGAAGAAAAAGGAAAGGGATGAAGATTAATTTTAGTTTAGTGTTACTAAGGCATCAGTGGCACATTCTAATATTTTCATTATTTTAAAGCTCAATACAATCGTTATAAAGTAGTCAGAGGTTCAAGCACTATAATTTTAACTAGTTTTAATTGCTTGAGCTCATTGAGGGTTCTGGAATGCCTGGGTGAGTCAAAAGGCGGAAACATATATCTCAATTGCATTTTCGTGGATTTTTTTAATTCATTTTTCGTGATAGTATATAAAGTTATTGGTCTGAAACTTTGAGATTTTGATAAATGAGAATCGAAAATTAAATGCACAACTCACATAAAGACTGACTAAAAAATATAAAGACACTTTAGCACATTAGACTGAACCTTAGCATGATAAAGTGCTCTTGATGCTTGAATATAATCAATAAAGCATGACAATGAACACAGTTGTTACTCGGGATAAAAAAACCACGGAATTTTAGGTCATTGATTGACCATTATTAGATTAGCAATGCTAAAAAGTTTTGGTTAAGACTTTACAGAACTATGATTATTATCATATCCATATTCTTAAAGTTTGAGAACTCTCTAATCAGCATGTTGATGTCGTCTCGTATCCATATTCCTCATGGCAATTCATGCTTAGTAGGTTTGACTACCTTGCATACATTTCTGTGTTGTTCTTGGACCATTGTTGCTCTTCATGGCTATACCTACTTATGCATTGTTGTTTGTTTCAGATAGTTAATAGTTTGGTATTTAAACATGCAATACTATACAAAATTATATTTGGAACTGTATCTGGATATGAAACAAATCTTAGCATGCAGCATTTTAGTGGTTTAATCTATTGCATATATGGGCGTGTTAACATTAAGCCTCAAGTATAAATTCGTTGCACGTTCAGCCTTTTTATTTCAAAATGTGCTTCTGATTGTGGCAAAAAAATCACTTGTAATGCAGTTTCGAATTATAAGGAGAGAAGTCTTGGTAACCCTTGTATTCCTAGAGGATATAAGCTGACAGTGAATGCAAGTGATACACAACTTCTGGTGTCCTCAATGGGTGGAAACTTTTCTGCGTGCAAATCTGAAGCTTTGGCATTATTAAAGAGACGGCAAGGTAGCATCATCTTTTGCTCCTTCAGTGTCATGAGTTTCTGATCTTCCTTTTCATTTGAAATTCAATTATCTTGTGCTGGTACCAATTTTTAGTTGACTTACTGCTTCTGTTGGACAGTTTAGTGGAATTATTTCTTTATATCTTTTCATGTTAGCTGCCCCTTATATAACCATAAAATAACATGTCTATAAAAAGTTGTTTTATTGTTTATTAGCAATAAAGTTGCCCCTTCCTAAAAAAGAACTACTAATTAGCCTATTTCTCAGTGTCACTATTGCATATGTCAGTAGTGGCAACAATAGAACTTTTGGTTATAATGTGTCTCCCTAGAAGGGAGTAAGACAGAAGACCAAATTGAATTTTAAGCGCCATAACAATGGATCTAGGAAAGAGCTCTGTCTTGGAAGTTTTTATAAAGGGCAAGAAAATCCTCAATGCTATTTTATGGTTTTGTGCTGGGATAATTTTGAATTAAAGCATGCACCCGCGCATTTGCAAAACATCAGTCTTTGAGGAGTTTCATACTATGAAGTAATAAATGCAGCATAACCGGTGAAACTTACCGATTTAGAACAAGTAACAAGAAATTTAGAAATTAGAAAGGGATTTACAAAAAGAAGAGGAGTTAGGATCCAAGATAATAGAAATAGAGAACAAAGAGATTAGGAGAAGAAAACTGAGGATTAGAAACAGAATTATAATGATAGAAGAGCTGATCAGAGAGAAATAGATAGACTAAAGAGAGATCTAGAAGAGAAAAGAGATATTAGGGTATAGAAGGCAGAGAAACAAGAGATAACACAAGAACAAATAATTTCATTCATCCATGAAGTCGTCTCTATTGAATTACCAACCACATATTTATAATAGGAAAGTGATCCTAAGTTACCCTACTAGAAATAGGAAAGTAATCTTAATCCTACTAGAAACAGGAAAGTAACCAAAGCAGGAAAATAACAAAATAAAATAGGAAACGAAATTAGAACAACCCTAATTCATTATTCTGCATCACCTACACTTGCCTTATCCCAATAAATGAGATGCAGTAAATGTTGTGGACTTCAAACCAACAGATTTGTTTCAAGTTTGTACAAGGTTATCTCACAGGTATTGCCCTTAAGATTGAGGCAGGTGACCCTCTTTCACCTTTTTAAAGTACATTGGCAGTGGATGGATGAAGTAAGTTAAGTGGTGCCAATGGATGGTTGAAGTAAGTTAAGTGGATAGAGCAAGTGAGGTGCAGTCAGTAAAGGAGTTGTCAATTAGTAGAGAAAGGATGAAAAATAGCATTTTTCCCTTGGATCTCTAAATCTATCCATGAAGCGCTCTTTCCTAAGGTCTTTAAGTCAGGTTCTGTTTCTTAGTCTTTTCCTGTTAGATCACATGTGAAGGGGTGAGAGATTTCCTGAGACAAATTTCACCTATTGTGCATCCATATTTGATCCAACTTTTGAGAACTAAGAGCATCCACAATCATGCTCCTTATTTTTTAGTTAAAATTTAGCTAAAAACATTAGAAAGCTATTTTAGGAGCTCCTTAAAAAAATTTCAACTCCAACCATGCTCCCTAGTTTAGGGAATGATAAATGATTTACTTCTTTTTTTAATTTAGCATAAATGCTCCCTCTTCATATAAAATAATAATAATAAATAATTGGCATTAAATAAATACTTAAAATAGCATTAAAGTAAAGAAGCATTTAATTATAGGGAGCCACTAGGAGTCCTTTCTCTCTCCTCAGATTTAGGAGCTCCTAGAGGTCTCCTTATTTTAGGAGTTGGATAGGGAGCATGGTTGGAGGTGGGTTTTCTCACTTCCTCCCTAAATTTTATCTAAGGAGGTAGTTTAGGGAGTCCATTATGGATGCTCTAAGATCTCATTAGATAACTGACCTACCCACCATATAGCTAGAATAAAAGTAGAGAGAATTACAAGGTCAACTGTTGAAAGCCATTTGTGATTGATGCAGAGTTCAGTTGGAAATGACATAGTAAATGATTACGTAACTATATCGTCAATTGACAGCATGACTATTAAAAAAATTCACACTGCCTGCTTATTGATAAATTTTATAAATAATATCTACCTATACATCCATGGAAATACACTTTGATTTTATGCTATTTTACCAATTTTACTCTCCTATAAATTATCTTGTTTATAGAAGCATTCTTTTTGAGAAGATATCTGTTAGATAAATTGTGAAGTTATAACTCATTGGTTTATGAGATTCTAGGTCACTTGTATGAAAAAAATATATTCATTAATAGCTGTTATTTAAAAATGCAGACAAATGCATGCACGCACCTTGCAAAATTGTCTCATCCTTTCCTTTTGAGTTACGAGGCAAACCAGTTTCTACCAACAACTTCTTATTTACTTCTGAGGTTGGTAAATAAACAGGTTATTTCATTTTCTTTGTTAAAGTTTAGCTGGCATGAGTTTCAGATTTGTTACAAATTATAATTAGGCTATTAATTGTTACTGGTCACAGTAAACTACTTTGTATTTTACACCATAATTTCATTAAAAAGTATAATGAGATTATTTCCTAATTCCCTTTCTAAAGGAAAATCATTTAGAAAGGGCATTAGGATTTTCATTTTAGAAATTGAAACTTTCTGAAATGTATTTTAGGGATTGAGGGTATTTTTAAAAATGTTTAAAATGGGGGAGAGAGATAAAACCCATTGTCAAATCGCACTTTTATCCTCTCATGTATGACCAACGCATCTCATTTCTGTCAATTTATTTGACAGAAATGTAATTTTGGACCCAATTGCAAACCTTACTAACCTATAAGGGTATAATAGTTCAAACTGCAACTACACACACTAAAGTGTTGTCAGCCAACATCGGGCTCATATTCAATCGGATGGGTGAGTGCTTCTTTGGTTTAGGTTCAAGATGGTTTAGGAAGCACTGGCCTGAGTTTGCGCCTGTCTTCAAATTCTCTGTTGCTGCTTTATGTAGGTATGCAAGCAGGCCACATCGAGCCAGGCTACTTGCTAGGTTGAGCTCAACTTGAGCATTGACCTTCAGGTTTAAACCTGGTTCATTACAAATTCAGAAGCTATAAAACAGGCTGAGCTTGAGCTCGAGTCTGAAACTTGAAAAATAAAAATGAATGAATTTTAAAGTACATATTTATAAATTATACTGTTAACTTAAGAAGGTTTTTACTTTTTCGTATTATACATAGGCTTGCAAGGCACCCTCCACTAAGCGAAGCCTACACAAGCTCACTGTTTTAAGAACAAGTCCAATATACTCAGGTCTAATTGTGGCCTTTGCAAGCAGCATAGCTCATTGTGTTCAACCCTGGGAATCCAGGGAGTTATCTTGTTAAGTACATGGTATGGCACAAAGGGACTGCACTTGCTCAGGAGTTAGTCAACTTACTCAAACTAGTTGTAGGAAGAAAAAATAAACCAACAAAACTATTAAAGTTAATGAGCTGTGCTTCAGAATATGATCAGAATAATAGGCACTTGTAAGGTTTACAATGCCCTTGAGACCTGTTCTCTTATGTAAGTTAATGAGCTGTGCTTCAGAATATGATCAGAATAATAGGCACTTGTACGGTTTACAATGCCCTTGAGACCTGTTCTCTTATGTAAGTTAATCATTTCCATGAGTTCTAAACTTGCTAGCAAAACCGATTTACTTGAATTTGGATTCGAGGCCTTTCTTGCACAATCATATATTCCCGTTTCCTACTGCCAGAAATCTCTGGCCCCTTGATTCCTGAACTCCACTGGAAAAGCAGCACAGCTTTCTTGATTGTTTAAAGTTGTCAAGAAGCTTTATTCCAACACAAAATACAAAAAAGTTTGTCCTAATCTCAAGGGGGCTTATCAAGCAATCAAGGCCTCAAACATTATATGCAAGTTTAGAAACAAAATACAGTAAGAACTATAAAATATTAGGGATTTCAGACAAATTTGGTTTTCTAACATGTGCTTTAGTGCTGTTCTAGGTTCTAGGAAAGTAGTGACGTGATAGCACTCACCTTAAGTATTGCCCAGAAATTAGAACTTTGTATCCACCTAGGCATGAATGTGCAATCACTAGAATATATCAATGGTTCGCTTCAGCCTAAGTACATTTGCAACTTAGCTTACCCTGATCACTGAATGTCACTATAAATGAATTGACAATTTATAGGAGCGTGTGGCACAAGGGAATCCCTTTTATAAAGTGCCTGTTTGCAAAAATTTTAAAGGATATATTTAAGTTCTAAGGGTGTTGTAAACTCAATTTCGCTTGAATCTACTTTAAAGGGAGTGTAAGGACATGCCGAAGATAATTGCAAATTTTCACGTTTTAGTTCTAGGCTACTTTTTGTTTAACCTGAATACCTTTTGCCTTATTTCTTGTTTGTTTCAGTCATTAATTTGGTACTTTTGCCTGTTTTCAACCGTGTACAGCTTTTTGGGCTGGTTCCCACGGCTTCTTTGTTTGAGTTGGAGGCAGCAGGTCAACGTTACTGTGAAGATGATTGGGATAAACAGAAAAATCAACATCACAGCATCGTTGACTCAGATTTATTGAAATATTGTTTCTCATCTGCATATATGGTGGCACTGTTGCATGACAGTCTAGGAATCCCCATGGATGGGAAAAGGTATGTTGTACACTTGCAGGCTTGGTAGTAACTAGTAATCTTCATCTATATTATTTGTTTCTATTGGATCAGGTGAGTTAATTAAAAAGCTGCCAGAAATCCTATGAGCTATACAACCGATATTTTTGGTATTGATGCATGCGTAATAACAAAGAATGCATTTCTGCAATGTAGAAGGCTTCGTATACACTCTGCATGTCTTCAAACTTCATTTTACTGCATTTTGTGGAGCTATCCTTATTGCATCTTTCGTTCAACCCTCTCGAACACTTAATATTGTGATCTAGCTTCCCCTGAACCGATATTTGTTGTAAGATGGAAACCTTTTTGTATACGATCAAGTTAATGTTATTACTCTTTTCAGGGTTGGATTTGCAAACAAGACTGGAAACATTCTCCTTGATTGGACACTTGGTGCTTTCCTTGTTGAAACAATGCTGGAGCCCCTTGAATGGGAACTTGACAATATGGGCCAGATTGTTGGAAATGAGTCAGTCACTTACTTCTCTTTCTTTGCGTTTCTTTTAATTTCTCTATTCGCTGTATTCTTTGTATTGCAATCACGGAAACCACAATTAAAGACTATATACGATTTAGAGAAGGGACGGTATATCATCACCCGTGTACCTAGGTAATTATACATCTTTATTTTGTTTTATTTCTTTTTTATTTTGTTTTTTAGAAGTTCATTCAATGGGAATCTGAAATCTGTATTTTTTGGAGCAATTGTTGTCAACAATTAATGAGAGCACCTTACCAACTCTGTGTCTACTTCTTAAGAGTATTTCTTCCTTATAATCAACATGGGAAAATAAAATATCCATTTTGTAGCGTGTTTCATGCATCCTGAACCAAAATCTCGATTCAACGCAATCTTCATTTTCATAATGTGCCAAAGATGTAAAGGAACAGTTTAGGTTGTCACAAAGTTCGCAATTGATTAATGTTCATTTCGATGTCCGATTTTGTTGATTTCTGGCATGAATGGTCTTTGAAGGGGGTCTTAGAGACGGTTCATAAAACCACTATGAATGCAAGCCTAACAAAGTAGCCCGTGTGGTATTTATATAGTAGTGTGTATATAAAAATTTCTCAATAAATTAGAAAGGAGTAATCAAACTTAAAAACAAATATTGTGGCTTATAATTAAAGTTGATTTACTTAATAAAAAACAAACTTACATTAATGTTGGAAAGATTTGATTGAGGGCCTTATGGTGATTCAATCAAATCCGCTGTTCGAAACCTGTGTCCATTGCAACAATCCCTAATTTCTCTAGAGTAGTAGTAAACAACTTCAATCTTTCTGGAATCTTTTTCAGTTTTAGGCAACTTTCTATCTTTAGATGCTTGAGCTTCATCATTGCATTGTCATCCACTGTCCATTCCTCCAACTCTGTTAAAGAAACAAGGTGTAGAACTTGCAGCTGTGGAAACACTTCTGAAGAGCAAACCAGTTCCCTCCATTTGTATGACTGGTTCCCCAAGACGAGCATCTTCAGGTATGGCAACCTTTCTAGTTGAACTATCGAATCCTTCTGGAGCTCAGAACCAATCAAACTTAGCTTGACGAGTTTTGGCGGAAATTCACATACTTAGGTAACTTCTCTATTTTCCCCTTCAAACACAGCGTGTGGAGATGTTGGAAATTAGAGAGGCCCATGGATGTTGGGAATGTTTCATTGTTCATCACCTCCAGCGACAATGATTGCAGGTAGCACATTCTCTTTAGGATTGAAATCACCAAGTTTACCTTTTCTTGTGATAATCTTTCTATTCCCAGTCGTTGTAGATTGATCATGTTGGCTAAGCTGCCGTCTTCTATCCATCTTCCAGCCCTTGTAGTTTTTAGGGTCTGTAAATGGCTCAATGTGTCCAATCTAAGCTTGACACGATTTGGTTTGGACTCATCACAAAGGAGCAAATGCCTCAAACGTTTCATCTTCCAAATGACATTGGGGATGGGTGAAGAAGAATATCCCAAATCCAGTGTCTCTAGGTTCTTCAAGTTT